TCCTAATAATAAACTGAAAGGTTTATTAATGTTCCATGTGCTCATTAAAGGGGGCACAGCATGAACAGCTGGAAGGTGTCACAATCAGTGGGTTTCTACAGAGGAATTTTGTACCTTTTTAATTACATCAGCTTGTCCTCAGCAGTTCAAATTTAGGCACTAGAAAATGTATCCATTTGCTCCATGTAAGTGATATTATTTCTGTGCCTGTTCTTCTGCAAAACCAGCACACACCTGCTGTGAGCTGCAGCCACTTCTGAACAAAACTGAGACAAGCTAGGTTTGGATAAGAGATTTTGATTAATTCACACATAACACACAATTTATTTGTCCACAAATGCAATTTAAATGACCTAAAGTGGGTGTGCCCCTCCTGCTGCTGGAACAGAAGAGGGTGAATGGCTCTGCTCACTCAAACCCCCAGCTTGTGCATTGTCTTTATTGAGGTATTGGAGTTTTAAAGTCCAAATGGGCCACCTGCCCTATGGGGGACGTGGAAATACCTTCAAGTTCAGTTTTCCTTTCAGAAATACATCTCAAAGACATGTCGAGATAAGCAGAAGTTTTCACTGAGAACAGATTCCAGGGATTTACTGGGGCAGAAGGCATACAAAACAATAAGTAATAGTAAAAATTCACTGATTGGCTACTGGGTGGGTTGGATATTCCATTAAACATTTATTAAAATTTCATTAACTTGAAGGACAGGGGGACAAGCTGGCTGCCTAAAGAAAACATAACCATTGTAGGGCAGCAGAGGGACAGCACCAATCTCAGGGACAGGAGCCAGGGCACGGCTGGGGCTGGGCCAGGGCAGCTCAGGCTGGAGCTCAGGGCTAGGCTCTTCCCCCAGAGGGTGCTGGCACTGCCCAGGCTCCCCAGGGAAGGGGCACGGCCCCGAGGCTGCCAGAGCTCCAGGAGCCTTTGGACAGCGCTGCCAGGGATGGACAGGGTGGGCTTGTTGGGGGGTCTGGGCAGGGACAGGAGCTGGGCTGGGTGATCCTTGGGCTCCCTCCCAGCTCAGGACATTCAGTGATTCCATAAATTTGTGATTCATAATTAATATTTTGTTCTTGACTTTTCCTGTACATGACTTTCAGCTGTGACAGTATGGGGGCTGTGACCTTGCATTTCACTCACTTCTTCTACCTTCTTTGAGATTGTTTTTTTTTCATTGAATATCTTTTCTTCTGCTGACTGTAATTCTTCCAGGTTTTGGGCTACAAGGCATTTAATGGCTTTGGGCACAAAGAGAAAGTGTCAAGAGGTTTTTTCCTTGGGAAATTCCGCCTCTGGGGTTGGATGTCACCCTTTCCTCAGGTAAGAGGAGGCTCAATGAGAACGGGGGTTTCTCTTGCCACTGGGTTTCAGCTGCACTGGTGAATAATGCAGCAGAATTTTGCAAGGACACCACTACAAACCTCAGCAGCAAATCCAGTGCTTACCTCACCAGCCCCCGGGCACTGCTTTTGTTGTGATCACAGCAGGGTTTGAGTGACAGATGCACAAAGGAAATGGAGAGAATGAACGGAAAGTAGTTTATGGTTTTCCTCAAAGGCACTTTTCTAACTCAAAAATATAAGCCTTGTGGTTTATATGGTTTTGAAATGTAACCACAGATCTTGAGAACTGGAAGGCATTTGATTTACCATCTCCTGCAATTTTGGTACCAGGTTCAGGGCAGAACTTATTAATTTTCAGAATGAAAAACATTCAAAGGAAATATATTAATGTAAAATGTTTAAAACAGGAACATGCTATTGGGAGAAAATGTCAGTGCCAAAACTTGAGGTCTTTTGTGTCTTGTTGGAGTTGGTGCAGATGTGTCTTTCTGAGATCTCCACCAAAGTGCTTTAACCTTGATTTGGTGAGGCTTTTCCAGCTGTTTTAAGGTCTGCAACCCCCTTTTTTGGGAGCTGTGAAGGGTCAGTGTCAGACTGAGCACTTTCTCTTGAGCTCAGTCTAGGAACTGGAAGGGCTCAGGGCTAGGAACAGGAGGGTCAGGGACACGTCTCCTGACCCTCCTCAGCTGCTCAAAGCTGGAGCAGGGAGACCTGGTTTCTCTGACTTTCCACACTGGGGATTTTTTTTTTGCTCACAGAATGCCCCTTGCTAATAGCTGGCTATCTCTCCAGGACGTAGGAGACTCTGCAGGACTGAAGTTCTCTTTAGCAGTGGAGCTTCTGGGTGTCCTTGGAGGGAAGGATGGGGTTTTTTTGGCCCCATATTTGCCTTGTTCTTGTCCAGAGCTGAGCCCAGATGCCCTTGTGGTTCAGTTCTGCCCATCTGGTTTTCAGTCACTTTGCTTTATCCCTTCTTACCTTGTACTTCTCCCTCGCTCCCTGCTGTGTGGAGCAGCCACAAGATCTCCAGGTTTTTCTGGAAGGCTTGTGAAACTCCCTGGTTTTCCTTGGATGTCCTAGTATTAGTTTATTGCTGATTCTCTTCTTCCTTCTCGGATGTGGATGAGCAGGTGCCTGTCTGGTGTCCTGCCCGAGTATGGCAGTAGTTTTTCATTAATTATCCATGTCAAAGACACTCATTTTTCACTCTCTAGGGGTGCCAGGAGAACTGTGAGGAGGACAGTCCTCCAAAGAGATCCTGCAGGAAACAGAGCAGATTAATTGTTCATTTCATTCAGGAGACCTTCACATTTCCATCTTCTGTCTCATCTGGAGAGCAACTGGATGCAATAGCTCCAGGTCCTGCAGGAGCTGCAGTGTCCTCCCTGTGGTGGGATGAGCCCAGGACACGAGGTGGCTTTGATCTCCTGTTTATGTCTGGCTCTGGGAGCAACTGCTTTTGGGTTATTTTGTTATGTTCAGCCCCTGACCGTGCCTTGTCCTTGGATTCCCAGAAGCCTCACCAGGTGAGGAAGGGAACAGCCCTGTGCAGACACCAGCAGATTTTTCAGTTTCTCTCCTTGTTCAGTCCCTGCCCTCTGTCATTGTGAAGCCATTCCCCCTTGTCCTGTGCCTCCAGGCCCTTGTCCCATGTTCCTCTCCAGCTCTGCTGGAGTCCCTTAGGACACTGGAAGGGGCTCTGAGGTCTCCCTGGAGCCTTCTCCTCTGCAGTGTCTCCACCAGGTCCATGTCCCTGCCGTGCTGAGGAGTGGATGCTGTGCTCCAGGGGTGCTCTGTGGAAATAACCAGCTCTGGGTGTGTCCCAGCTCTGGGGCAGGGAAGGTGTCCCTGTGTTCCTGTGACTGCTCAGTGCCACGCTGGCACTGGTGGCTTGCTTAGAACTGACTGCAGAGATGTTTTCCTCCTGCTGTATCAGCTCGGGTTTCAGTGGCAGGGTGGTAAGGTAGGAAACAGTCAGTAAGAAAAGGGCTGGGTTTGTTGACTGAGGTTTAGCTTTTAACAAGTTGAATTATTGGTTGTATGTGAAGTGAAACACTGCTCTCCTAACTGCTCTCATTTCCTGTATCATTCCAGCCGGTTCCCTGCATTAATTACAGCTCAGATTTACAGTGTATTTGGTTACACACTGCGTTGCATTCTCTTTTTTTCCCCCTCTGTGTGTATAAATTTCTTTGGGAGTCAGGCCAAGAGGAGAGTGTGCAGATATGCACACACACATGGACTGAATTTGACTGTAATTTGCTAATTTACTGGGGAGAAGAGATCTGGCTTTTCTTCTGTTTTGGTGTAAAAAGAGCCTTTTCTTTTTCCTAAGGAGGAGCGGTAGCTGAGAACAGCCAGTGTTTGGAGAGTTCAGCATTTCAGAACAACCAGAGATGAGAGAAAATATTATCTTGTGAATTGTAAATGTGGCATTTTTAATTTGGCTGGTGTTTCCCAGAGGTTAGTGGATAATGGGAATATTATCATGCTCTTGGCTCAACCAGTAATCAGCTTGCTACTTCAAGTATTTTATAAATGCAGTGCCTCAGAGTTCAGCTGGATGAGGTAGAGCCTTTCACAGCTGAAGGAGTTTTTTGTGACCTGAAATATGAAGTGCGATGAGATACTGAGCATGAAATCTAGCATTTGGAAATAAGCTCTTTAGGAATTGTAAAACACAGAAGGTGATTAAAAGGAAGTTTTCTTTTCAGTTTAACATTTTTCTTTTGGCTGTATGAAAACATAAGAGGAGGTGCGTTAGGAGGATTGGTTTAGAGAGTTCATTCAGATTTTTAAATTCATTCTTCACATTTTAACTCTTGATGCTTCAGATTATTTTCATTCAGAATATTTTGTGTCTTTGTTTTTGTAAGTAAATGATTGTGAATTAAGTAGAATCAGATATCAAATATGTTAGTGCTTTTAGAATGAAATATTCCTAACAATTGCTTTAGAAGTACTGGTGTGATGAATATTGCTGTGATGAATAATGGTGTGACTGTATGAGGGATGATAACACACAAAAGAACAACTGAATGCAAGTTCTGCAATAGCTAGACGAAAAGAGGAAAATTCCAAATAACCTTTTTTTTTAAAATATTTGATCCCTCTTTGTTTGGCCTTGCCACTTATCACAGCAGCCTTTCATCTCCCCTCTTCCTCAGGCACCCTCTGGCCTGAATCCCACTGCAGCCCCACTGGTGTCCAGCCTGGCAGGGCAGCGCCCTGGGCACACGCAGGGTCACCCTCCTCCATCCCAGCTGGCCAAGAGCTCCCACTGCAGAGCCATGCATGAAGACGTCCCGTGCTGCTCACCCCTGCCGAGCTGCGCTGCCCGTCCGGGGCCCTGCGCTCTGCCCTGCGGAGGGTGGCGCGGGCAGGGCGTGCGGCAGCAGGGCTGGAGCTGCCCAGCACAGCCAGGGCTGCTGAGTTAAAGCCTGCCTGGCTGCCGGCTGGGATTTTGTTAGGATTTCAGAGTGAAGGGTTTTACACACTAATCCTGACTGGCAGTTGGAGCTTGGTGGTTTCCAGCATGGAGTAGCAGATTTCTCTGGGGTGAAACAATGCCCCAGTGTGTCTGGGCTGACTCTAAGAGCCAATAAATCTGTTTTGTTTTGATTTTCTCTCTCCTTTTCTCTCTTCCTCCTCCTCCAGGCCAGGACCCACTCGTACTGCTGAAAACCCTTCAGCTTCTCTGGACAAAGCAGGAGCTGGGGAAGGTAAGGCTGAGCCCTGCACGCAGCGTTTCTCTGGATGCAGAGCATGTCCGAGCCTGCATGGCTGCTTCCATTCCAGCATCAGGGCAAGAGCCTCTGCATTGCAGCTACCAGTGGAAAGAAAAGGTAGCTTTGTGTGATCGGGAGCAGCTCAGGGGCTCCTAGAAAAGAGCTGGAGTTTCCAGGGCTGAGTTACAGAAAGAAAGAAAATCAAAGTTGTTTTTGTTTTGTTTAAAACACTTTTTTTGTCCATTAAATGGAGACTCTTGGGGGGAGGGGGAAGAATATTGCTAGTAGCTGAAAAAAAATGAGAGTTGAATTTGGTAGAAAAGTGCTTTTTGCCAAGTGGATATATCAAAGCTTTCATATTTGAAGTTTTTTTTTTTTTTCTGATTTGGTTTGGTTTTGCCTTTTAGAGTGGTGAATGCAATACACTGCTGTCTAAAATTACTGCTGTTATTTTTATACAGCAACCTATGGGCTCTACACTGAGATTTTTCATAGGCAGTAAAATATATTGCATCTGAGTTTGGAAGCTTGAAAACTAACGAAACCAGCAGATGCAGGGGGGAGTTTTCCATGTTTTACTCTGTGCTGCTTAGGCAGGTTCAGAAGTGAAATGGGTCCTTTTCTAGAAGGCCCAGAGCCCTGCAGTTCCCACATAACCACGTGGAGCATCTCCTGTGTGGAGTGGCCAGTGTGGCTGAGGACCTGGTGGATGTGCTCCATCCTGGGTGTCTGCAGTGCTTACTCACTGTCCTGGGCTGCTGCTCTTAGACTTTCCATTACTTTTAGTCTGTGGTTGCCAGCTGGAATAAACAACTGGAAACCCAATGTGAGAGGTGCCTTTCCAAATGGTCACTCGCTGGCAGAGACTTGAGCTCAGCAACTCTGAAACCTTCAGCTTTCGATCAAGTTTTGTTAGAGTTGGAGAAAAAATATTGTTCTTTAGGTGTGGAGGGCAGTTAATCCCACAAAACAACAGCAGGAAAGAGAAATCATCAAAATCTCTGCACTGGGTATCCTGGGATGTGTATGTGGATTGGGAAGAAAAATATTCTGGAAAAGAAAAAGCCTCCCATGGACACGTCCTTTGGCAGAGAGCACTGCTGTGATTCTGCTGGGGGTGGAAAAGCTGGAGGATCCCCAGGATCTATGGAATCACAGACTGGTTTAGGTTGGGAAGGAATTTAAGGCTCATCCAGTCCCACCCTGTGCCATGGGCAGGGACACCTCCCACTGTCCCAGGCTGCTCCAAGCCCTGTCCAGCCTGGCCTTGGGCACTGCCAGGGATCCAGGGGCAGCCACAGCTGCTCTGGGCACCCTGTGCCAGGGCCTGCCCCCCCTCCCAGGGAACAATTCCTAATTCCCAATATCCCATCCAGCCCTGCTCTCTGGCAGTGGGAGCCATTCCCTGTGTCCTGTCCCTCCATCCCTTGTCCCCAGTCCCTCTCCAGCTCTCCTGGAGCCCCTTCAGGCCCTGCAAGGGGCTCTGAGCTCTCCCTGGAGCTTCTCCTCTCCAGGTGAGCACCCCCAGATCTCCCAGCCTGGCTCCAGAGCAGAGGGCTCCAGCCCTCAGACCAACTTAGTGGCCTCCTTTAGATTAATTCCTACAGCTCCATGTCTATCTTCTGTTGGCCACCCCAGTGTCCCCTGGGCTTTGCAGGACCTCAGGGGGGTTTGCAGGTGTGTCCCCTCCAGGCTGTGTGCTGAGGAGGAGGGTGTTTCTCAGCTTGGAGGGTGCCCAAGGAAAACCTTTCTGGAGCAATGGGGAGAGCTGTGGTGAGCCCAGCTGCTGTGGGGGGCCACAGCAGGAATGTCCCAGTGGGTTCTGACTCATGCTTGTCACACTGTCCCCAGGATGACACCAGGATGGGCTGAGCCATGCCCAGGGCTGTGCACCCACAGCAAGTGCAGACTCTGTTTTGAGGGGCTGGGCTGCTCTGTCCTCTGTGTGCAGCTCAGGTGGGTTGTGCTGCTGCTGCCCCCCAAATGTCCAGCCCCAATAACTGAGATAAGTTGAATTAAGTCCAGCTCAGCCTGCCCCAATGCCAGGTAAGCGGCAGGAGCTTCTCTGCCTCTCGCTGTGTGTGCCTGCAGGTCAGTATTGTCCATAGCTGGGGTAAATCAGCCCCTTGGCCTCAAATCAGTGACCGTGGGCAGGAATGCGTCTGCCAGGGCGTGACCCCAGTTCTGGAATATGGGTACAAGAAATGGTCATTTCCTACACAGGAATGACAGTTTGGGAATAACCAGGAAGCATCAGCAGACTGCCCGGAGCTGTGGGACTAGAAAGAGGGGATCAAAGCTGAATAAAGGACTGTGTAGTTTGAACATCAGCAACATTTTCCTATTCCCATGATCTGTCAGGCTGTAGAAATCCCCCCAAGGAGCATTCCCTGCCATGGGAATCAATTGAAATGGAAATGGCAATTACAAAAAAAGTTTGAGAGGAATCCCTCTCTGGCAGAGGGATGAGCCAGGCAGCACAGCACTCTTTCCTCTCTGATTTAGGTGTCTCGTGCCCTTTTTGTTCTCCTCCTTTCCCCCTCAGACTATAGATGCCCTAGCTGAAGGCTTGCTGGGAGGTTTGGCAGGAGGCTTTTTCCCAGCTCATCACAGACTCACTGTGCAAAGGGCAGACCCAGAGCAGACGAGCACAGTTTGTGCTGCCGGCGATGGGGTCAGTGCTGGGAGCTGCTCTGCCTGCGCCAGCAGGACCTGGTGTTTGCTGGAGCCCATCCTGCCAGAGCCCAGGCTCAGATTCCAGCCCAAGGAGGAGCTGAGCAGGGTGGTGGAAGCTCCAAATGTGCTGAAGTGGGGCTTTTGGGGGGGGAAAAGCCATTTCCAAACAGCACAGTGGAGTTGGCGAGTTGGTTTGTTTTCCTTTGGCTGTTGTATTGGATGTTTGTGGTTGGATCAGAGCTCATCTTTGCCTTCTGCTGCATCTCCCAGAAAAGCTGGAGCCCTGTGTTTAACATTGCAAACTCTTGCCACAGGGAAAATTACTTAGAGGGAGAAATCTCTTATCTAAAGTCCCATCTCCATTAGTCATCAGCTTTTTCATACTGCCTTTATAGCCTACTGAGAAAGAAACGGTTTCTGTCATAAACCATAGGTTCTGTGGTTTTTCCAGACATGAAAGACACTCTGGAAAACAACTGTCTTCCAGTAAAAACTGTCAATGAATAAAAAAAAGAAAAAATTAATTGGCAAATTTTTTGTAGATTTTATTTTGTTTTCCATGTTGCTCTTCAAATTTTATATTGTTTCCACTGGAAGTTCCGAATGGGGCCATGAATCCAGTAAATTACAAGTGCTGGCTGCAGCAGGAATGAGCATCTTTTGGATTTGGCTTTTTAGGCAGAAAAGAAAGAGAGCAGCTGCTCTCAGTGATTTCTTGTCTCTGTCTCTGCTCTCGCCCTGCTCCACACTGATGATGTACCATGCAGTGAGAGGTCCTGTGTGGGTGCTGAGGATGCCACCTCCTCACCCTGCCAACCCTCCCAGCTCCCTGGAAACTACTTCTAATGTAAACATTATAGAGATACTGCTCAGTACTGCTAATTTATCACTTCTGCCAGATGGGGAGTAAGTAGCCTATTAACATTCACAAAGTGAGGGTCCAATTCCTTCACATTTCTGAACACATCACCCTGGCATTCCTAAGATTTATAGCGTGGAGCTTTCCCATGTTGTGAGCCCCTTTGTGGGGCCTTTAGGCTCAGGGAGATGTGCAGGGGCAGGAGGTGCTCAGGGAGCTTTTGGGGGAAGGAGTACAGATCTGGAGGATGACAATCTGACAGAATTTGAGCTCAGATATTTCATTCATTTTGATCTGAGTGTAAAATCCAAACTAATTTGAGACTCACAGATATTCCAATTATGGGCACTGTTGTGGCTGAAGTGGGCATAAGGTCAAATGTGCAGGTTTGTGGTGCAGCCATGAGGAGGGGTTCTTGTACTACACCTTGCAGGTATCTTAGAAGATCAGGAGATTTTTGAGCCCACTTCTCTACCTTCAATATTGCCATTTTCCCAATAACACCCCTCTCTCCAGCTCACTTCTCCCCCTCCCCCAAATCCCAAGCCCCTTTGTCTGCCCCACAGAACAACTTCTCTGTCTTTATGGGATAATTAGTGTGGACAATTGCTGCTTTTCCCATTGGGTTTGAGGTGCAGTGAGCCATGAAGGAATCTGTAATGACATGAAAAGTCACTGGAGGCGCGGATGGTGGCTGAATAGCAACAGTTACCTCTCTGAATAGATTAAATTTTAAAAAAATAAAGCTTTGTGTTCAGCTGGGGGAAGGGAGGATTCACTAATCTTTTTGTACATGACAATGTGGTTTTGTATCTCGGCAGCTCAAGGAAGAAATCAGGCGGGGCTTTGCCAGACTGGAGGACCCTTTGGCAGGACTCCTGGCCATGCTGGAGAGCAGCAGTGATTGGAAGGGGAAAGGGCATTCCCTGGGGTATTGCATCACCACGGAGCTGCAGCTTTGGATAAAAGCACATCCTGCTGTCCCACAGGTTAGAAAAAGAGAAAGCAAGAGAGCTGGGAGAGATGAGAGGGCAATTGATTGTAACGTTCCTCAGGTATCTCTAGTTTCACTTTTTTCCAAAGTTCAGTATCTTCTCTGTAGCCTTATACAGTGTGTGACAAGGTGTGAAACACAGTGAGATGTTATCTGTGGCATGCTGACCTGAAAATGAAATCGTATTGGGAGCTGTGCCGCCAGAGCTGTTTCCCTTCCAAAGTTGGGATTTCATCTCTCCAGATCAAACCACTTTGATCCAGCATTGCTCTTGCAGCCTTTCCAGGCTGGAGGCTCTCCCACTGGAACCCACATCCCTGCTGTCAGGAGAAACCCAGTTGTAGAAATGTGCTCTGTGTGTTCTTCCAGCTCTGCAAATAGAAGTCAGTTACTGTAGGATTGCTTAATTCCTGCCATATGGTGGGAATGCAGAAAATGGGAACAGCCTGCCTTTTCAGCAGCTGAATGATTAGTTCTGTAAAGTTGGGTCATCAGATTATATGTCCTAATGTTTACCATTCCTTCTGCCTTCAGATGTTCTGACCTACTGAGATTGTCTCTTTTCTGTGCTCTTTTGGCTCTGAACTGCAGGATACCTTTATATTTGTGTTGCTTCCTTTCCCATTTTTCCAAATGGCTCTGGTTAGATGTTAAGCTCTGCCATTACATGATTGGCAAAGTGCTACTGGCACTGAAATTCCTGTATCATGAGTGAATGATCATGTGGGAGAACAAGGATTTAAATACCTGTGTCTGTGCATCTTTTGATGGCGCTTTTGCTTTCCCTACCCTTCATGCACCCAGCAGCAAGCCTGGGAATGAAAATGGAATTCTTATGCCTGATAGGTGAGATCTCCCTAGAGGGGAGTCGCTGGATTCAAAGATTTTCTGCTGGGAACTAGAGGGGAGAATTTCTGAAGAGCTCTGTTAGCACAGAGGGCATTTTTCCAGTTTCAGATTTTACTTTTGCACAAGGCCCTATTCCTTCTCCAGAATTACCCCACAAACATTTCATGTTCTTAAAGTGGGTGCTGTGGAAAAAATGTGTATCATGTTGTTGTGATTTCTGCCTGCAGACTTCGTGGGGAAATCAGAGAATCCCTTCCAGAGGAATTCGCTTACTCTGTTTAAACAAGCTGCATTTTCAACCACCCTTGAATCACAGCCATCTTTACCAAACCTGTGTTTGATTGTTTTTTGGTTGTTTTTTGAAGTCTGGCACCAAGCTGAAGAAGCTGCAGGCCCGTGTGCTCGGAATGCTCTCCCAGTGCCCAGCTAATCTGCTTGACCCCCTGATTAGCATTTACCAGCTCCACACAGCAGACCGGAACTATTTGCTTGAACATGTCAGTCATCTTTATCTCCAGGGCAATTACAAAGAGGTGGGTCATGTCTTTCAAATAAATTTACCTTGCCAGCTCTCTGTGAATGTCTGTGTCCTTTTTTTTTTGGATGCATTTCAATGTGAATTCCATTTCATCCCAGCAGCTGCACGCTGTGAATGCTGCAGCTTAGCGTGCTCTTCCCATGTACAGAAGCAGCCTGGGCTCACCCTCGGCTTTTCTGCTGACTGAAGACAGAATGCCAGGGAATCCTCCTCCACTCCTTTGCTGGCCTTTGAAAGTAATAGGTTAATAGGCTTTAATTTGGAGAATTTAAGGAATGGTTGTATTCTTTTTTGTTTTCCTTGTCCTTAGCAAGAAAAGAAGGGATTTTAGTCCTTGGTCATAGACCTGCTGTGCTGTCTTCACCCCACCTGCAACCAGAGGGCTTGGAAAACCTCACTGGTCCCATGTGATTGCCCCAGCCTCAGGTCTCAGTTGGAGGGGTTTTGAAGCCTCTTTACCACTGAGGCTCATATTCCAAATGTGTAACACCTCCTGTGTCTGTGTCTGGGTGGTTGACACAGGCAGGAGTTCACCAGACCCAGGATCTGGTGTGCTTTACCCAGTTTTGCAGCACTGCAGCATCTCCAGCATGGTTGCCCCATCCCTGGAATGGTTCCATGCCAGCTTGGTCAGGGCTTGGAGCAACCTGGGGTAGAGGGAGGTGTGCCTGCCCATGGCAGGAGGTGGAACTGAATGGTCTTGAAGGTCCCTCCCAACTATCCTGTGGTCTTTCTTTTTTAGAGGCCAAAAGGGTTTGTTTTTCTCCCAGAAACATGGTTCATTTGGATGGTATACCACAATTTGACCTTGTTTAGCAAAAGTAAAACTCAAATGGCATTCTTAAAATACTGTTCTTCAGTACAGCTGAATTCCCAGATGACATCCTGGAATCCCATTCTTTTTGATTTCTTTCAATACTAAAACAAAGATATTTTGTATTTGGTTTGAAGTTCCCAGGTAGTTGCTTGACACTTAGTCTTCTGCTCAAAAAGTTTTTGAATGTGAATATTTGACAATTACAACATGAAGAAGTATCTTATTTGATTATATTCAAGTGGGATTTTTAGGTTCATGGCTCCAAAGATATTTGTTGTTTTCATTAGACATACAGTTCTTTCTAGATCCAGCTTTGGAAAGCTCTAGATTTTGTTGGTGGAATTGCTCTATTTTTTCTTTCATAGCAGAGATCATTTACTGCTCATTCCCAGGTGAAGAGTAGGAAACCTCAACAGCTCCTCACTCTCAGCCATAGCTTTCTTCTAGCTTTCTTTTGTTGCCAGAAGGATGAATAGAATTTTCTTCAAAAATAACAGGAAGTCTTTTAGTGCCCTTGGGGACTGAACATACCTAAGTCAGTCTAACCCCAAACAACCTGGAGCTGGGGCTCTGAGCATTACAGTGGCTGTGGGTGTCCATCTGTCCTTCTCTTCCCCATCTCTCAGCTGGGGCAGTGAAGCAGACTCACATGTAGGATTGTTGTCTCTTCAGTCTCTCACCTGAAAGGACAGAAATCCATACAAATCCTGACTGTCATTATATATTTTCTTGCTGTATTTGCAATAAAACACCAGACATTTACAGTTCAGTACTTAAAAGGGCTTATAAAAAAGAGAGAGATGACAGATAGTGATAGGATAAGGGCAACTATTTTAAGTTAAAAGAGGACAAATTTAGGTGGGATATCAGGAAGAAATCCCTCCCTGTGAGGGTGGTGAGGCCTGTCACAGGGTGCCCAGAGAAGCTGTGGCTTCCTCTGGATCCCTGGAAGTCTCCAAGACCAGGCTGGACAGGGCTTGGAGCACCCCAGGGTAGTGGGAGGTGTCCCTGCACAGGGCAGGGGTGGAACTGCTCTGGCTTTCAGGTCCCGTCCAGTCCAAACCAGTGTGAGATTCTGTGATTTATTCTAGAGCAGGTTATTCCCTTTGTCTGTGGTGTGCAAACCATGAATGTCCTCTGCCCTGAGAGGTAAGGCTCCTTTTCCTCGTGAAGGTTTTGGAGAATGTTCCCTTTGGGAAACGAGATCCCAGAGCTCCCTGGGGATGGCCGTGGCAGCTGTTTGTTGCTGGAGCACCTCTGGCCTTCCCTTACGCCTGGATTTGGAGGAGCTGGTCGGAGGCTGAGCCCGGGGCTTGGGGCAGTGCTAGCACGGGGCACAGGAGAGGGAACCAGGGACAGGTTCTGGTTCTGGTTCTGGTTTAGCAGCGCGGGCTGTGCTGAGGAGGCGCCGGCAGGGGAGCGGCACCGGCAGGGCAGCGGCGCCAGCGGATGGCACTGTGCTCCCGGGATGCAGGAAACAGGCACACGCTGGGAGCTGGGGAGAAGCAGGGGTGTGGAACAGGATTTTGAGGTGTCCAGGCTGTCCAGTGTTTCTTTTGTGACGGGAGTGTGCAGCTGCTGGAGCAGCAGTGAGAGCTCTGAGCAGGGCAAGGGGCTCCCAGCTCTGCTCACTGTGGCCCCCATGGCATGGGGAGGTGGGAGGGTTCAGCACTCCTGCTCAGGGACTTCCAGTGAAGCACAGCAGCCTTGTCCCCTTCCCAGAGCCCCTCCTTATCCAGCCGTGGCTCCATGCCACCCTCGATCTGGGCTGTGCCAGAGGTGCCAGAGCCCGGCTGCACTGCCAGGTGGATGCGGCCTGGGAAGGGCGATGGGAGCCAGGGGCCACGGTGTGGGGAAGAGGGCCGGGGAACAGGGGAACACCATGTGGGAAGAGTCCTGGGTGTGGGAGGATGTGCCATGGCAATGCCCTGGGTGAGTGCCGTGTGGGAAGGGCAGTGGGTGGCAGTGGATTTGGTGTGAGAGGAGCACTGGGAGTATTTGGTGAGGGGAGGGTGCGGGGTGCTGGTGGATTTGGTGTGTGTGGGAAGGGTGGTGAGTGTTTCTGGTGTGGGAAGGGCACTTGAGTGTCAGTGGAAGTGGTGCAAGAAGGACTCTGGGTTGATTTGGTGTGGGAAGGAGACTTTGTGTTTTGATGTGGGAAGGGTGCTGGATGTTTTGATCTGATCTCCCTCACTGATCTGGCATTGGAAGGACACCCCGTGTGTTTTGATGTGGGAAGGGTGCTGGATGTTTTGATCTGATCTCCACACCCCGTTCTGGTGTGGAAGGACACCCCGTTCTGGTGTGGAAGGACACCCCGTTCTGGTGTGGAAGGATACTGGGTTTGGTGTGGAAGGATGCTGGTTTGGTGTGGACTGACACTGGTTTGGTGTGGAAGGACACTGGTTTGGTGTGGGGTGAGGGGAGGGTGCGGGGTGCTGGTGGATTTGGTGTATGTGGGAAGGGTGGTGAGTGTTTCTGGTGTGGGAAGGGCACTTGAGTGTCAGTGGAAGTGATGCAAGAAGGACTCTGGGTTGATTTGGTGTGGGAAGGAGACTTTGTGTTTTGATGTGGGAAGGGTGCTGGATGTTTTGATCTGATCTCCTTCACTGATCTGGCATGGGAAGGACAACCCGTTCTGGTGTGGAAGGATACTGGGTTTGGTGTGGAAGGACGCTGGTTTGGTGTGGAAGGACAGCCCATTCTGGTGTGGAAGGACACTGGTTTGGTGTGGAAGGAAGGACACTGGTTTGGTGTGGACTGACACTGGTTTGGTGTGGAAGGACAGCCCGTTGTGGCGTGGAGAGCGCTGGGTGCCGGCAGGACAATGCTGGGATTCAGCAGACCGGGGGTAATGCAGCGCGAGCGGGGCTGCGAGAGGCCCTGAATAGGCCAGGCTGTGCTGGAGAAGAATGAGGGGTAGGCAGAAGGCAAGCTAGTGTTTCATGGTCATCTTATGTTACACTTCAGCCTTTCAAAGAGTGTCTGGGCCTGCTTGAATGAACCTCTCTTGCACTGCGAATGCGGGAGCCCGGAGACAAAGGGGACTCTTGTCACTCGCAGGCCCCTTTGGGGAATAAAAGCCATTGTCACATGAACAGGGGCAGTCTGGCAGGCTGTGCATGCTTCAGTGCCCCATGATATCGCTAAGTCTCAGCAGAAATCACATTCAGGGCCCTGTCAGCTTTGATTAGCGGGGTCTCATGACTTAATGTGCTGCGATATTTCATGTCTAAGGGTGGCGGCTGTCTTTCTGGGGGATGAATGCCCTCTATTGTCCACTGAGTTATTTTATTTACATTTTTTAAACAGCTTATAAAGGTAAAAAGATAGCTGTGCTTAAAGAAAAAAATCAAATTCCTTTGCTTCTGGATCAGCAGTGAGTGCTGCTCGGGTCAGATACAGTGAAACTTGTTTTCACAGTCAGCATCAAAGTTCTCGTCTTGTTTAACAGCTTTATAGTAAATTCTGAACAGGTGGCAGTGGAGCTGGGTTTAGGAAGGAAACAATAAATAATCTTTTTAGCCTCTGACAAGCAGAAATATTCCTGGGCCTGAGAGACCTCCCACTCCAGCCTCTGTGTCAGTGATTTGCAGTTTCTCTCCCCTTCATCACTCTGGTTCTCAAAAAAGAATATTGGATGAAGCCAGTAGCATTTTATTTTTAACAGGATTTTAGTTGCTATCTATTCAGATTTCTCTGTTTTCAAAAGCAGAGTATAATTTTTCATCTAATGTTTTATCCATCAATTTCTAGAAATAATGAAGGCTTGTATGTTAAATTTTGTTCATGTTTGCTCTTTCAATTAAGATAATGTGGGTTATCTGGTAGAGTTCAGTTAAAATTTGACATAAAATATGTTGGAATACCCAGAGAAAAAGTTGTGTAGACAGAGAATTGCAGGTTTTGGTCAGCAATACATAATAGCAAGGGTGATTGACCAGAGTTAAACTTAAAGGAGCACAAATACTCAGAAGAGTAAAATGCCCATCATGACCTTCAGTTTCAGTGCAGGGATTTTGTGAACAAAGTCAGGGGTGTTGGTATTTGTAGCCCTACTTCATCCTTGGTGCCAGACTACACTCAGTGTATCTCTGCAGATCTGTCAGTAGAGATCAGTGTTAGCATCTATTGAGCACATTAATGGATAATCAGATTTTTTTATTTCCTTACTCTGG